GAAAAAAAACAAGCTGAGCCAGGCAATTGGATCCAGGAGCTCCAATTCCACCATTATCTCCAAATTAGATTTTGTTTATACTGTATAAATATATGAATCTCATGTTCCATGCTTTGTCTAGTTCTGATTTTTGTTAAATCAGTAGTTAACTTACGAAGGTAATAGGTCTGAAAACTCTATACTGGTAATAGATTTAATCATATTCGTCTTTTCTATAGTTTCATATTAATCTACCACCAGACTTCAACAAAGTATCAGAAAAATCACATGAGAGCTGGGAATGGTGGCACATGCCTTTAATCCCTGCCCTGGGGAGGGAGGCAGAGACAAGCAGATCTCTGAGATCTAGGCCAGTCTGATCTACATAGTGAATTCCAGGCCAGCTGGGGCTCCAAGGAGACCTTGTCTCAAAAAAATAAAGCAAACAACAATAACGAAAAGGTCAAAAAATATATGGGGAATTGTGCTTTTTACCTATTTAAATATATACGTAAATGCTTTGCTGTTCTTCTCATTAAGAGATTTAGAAAAAGGAACTGTCTCTGTCCGTTGGAAACAAAGTAGAGGTCCTGGATTTTTTGTTTTGTTTGCTTTAGTTTAGTAGCAGTTGCAGCCAGCAGAATTTAGTGGTAGTAGTACAATGTGACTCCCAAGACTGAGTTATAAAAGCCACCGTTGCTCACGTGCTGTGCTTGCTTTTGTAGAACAGGGCAGAGGACATGTGCTCAAATTTACAGAGACTAATACTTAACTATTCCCTTATGGTTTGAATATGAAATGTTCCACGTAAGCTTGTGGATTGAAGATTTGGTTGCCAGCTGATAGGCTTTTGGGAAGTAACCAGGTCATGAGGATCAACCCATAGATGGATTCATAATACAGTGGTAATTTGGGGAAGTGCGGGATAATAGGAGCAGGACACTCATTGGAGGAAGTAGATATATTTTTGATTTATCTATATTGTCCCCTGTCCTTTCTCCTCCCTCTGCTTTCTGGGTGCCGTGAGGTAAGCATTCTCCACCACGTACTCTTGCCACCATAGTGGGCTGCCTTACCACAGACCCTGAAAGGTAGAGCAAGCATACCAAAGGTAAAAACCTCATAAACCATCAGCCAAAAGAAATCTTCCCTCCTTGAAACCATTCTTCTCATGTATTTGTAACAGCAACAAAATGGATATGACTATCACATCCCCTTTTACCTTTGAAAAATGGAAAGCCAAAGAGGAGAGAGACTTGCCCAAAGCCACATAGCTAGTAGTTACCTCTGACTGACAGTCAGATAATAGGATTTAAACCCTAGTGGTCTTTCTGCATTCCTGCTTATATGCAAAGATCCCTGGGATGCTGCTCCCTCTCCCATGAACAATGATAGGTATCATTTCTTGAGTCTTTTCAGGTAAGAGAGATTAATAAAAAAAGAATCATTGAAGCTATAGTAGTTGTTTATTTCTAATGTACCCAATCAATGGATTTTAGAAAAGCTATTAAAGCTAGCCTATGGCATTTAGACATTAAAAAATAATCCTTGTGGTCAAGAAATTTTTGAGCCTCCTAAGCATTTTCAAGTTTTTTTAAGTGTACAGATGTCATTCTATGTTGCATCTGTCTCCATTACAAAGTTAAATACTCATAAAGTGATAGTACACAGAGGAGATGAAACTTGCTTTGCTTTACAGATAAGGACAGCAGGTCAGGGAGCGACAAAAAGATGACTTACTCTGGGTGCTTGATCACTCAGAGGTGGAGCTGAAAGTAGAAGCAGTCCACCTGACTGAAATTTATAATAGAAAAAGCATAACTCACTGTAAAGTCCTTACTAATACTTATTCTGAACAATTAAGATAATGAAAGAAATTTCCCTTGAAGTCTGACATTGATTTACCTCCAGCTCTGTGGATCTGGGAGGTCATCGTGTTGTTCAATACTAACACTTGATCTTAGCTGCTGTAAATTTAATACAGGACATAAAATACAGAAATCAATATTTTGATATTGAGGAAACTCATTTATAGGATGTTTGTTCTCAGACTTTTAAATGAAATGGAGCGCTGCAGAAATAGAAGGAATCGTTTTTCATAAATTCCATTCTAGTTATATAGAAAATGGTGACCACAAGAAAGTACTAGAAAGGGCTTTTGTCATGTGACTGGTGCCTGTTCTTGCAGATTTTTCTCTGCCATGTTCAGTCCTACTAATGCCTATAAGCCTTTTGTTTCCATGGATCAGGTAGGCACATCTTTCATGACCTCAAATGTGTTTTTCCTCTTCTCCATTTACAAAACAGGAGAGGGCATGACCATGTCCTGTTGTTCCTTTGTGTGTTTTTTCAGCACAGAGAATGAGAGTGCCAAAATGGCCTTAGAAAATTCCCCAGAGACTGATTTGTGGGAACTTAGTCCTTCTGTGAATTTCTCTGCATAGCCCAGGCTCCAACAGTCAAATGTATTTGGAGAACATCATTCTATGTCCCCCTCCTGGAGGTTCACAAATCATCACGGATTACTAAGTGCCCAGAGATGCCCTCATTAGGTAACAGGTTTGTCTTCATTTTCCAATGATTCCTAAATTTAGTTGGTCCTTAAACCTATGCATGACTGTACGCTCTGGGAATACTGCCTCACAGATTTGGGTCCTGTTTCCTTCAAATTGTTCTCACATTTGAATTCGTTAGAGGGTTTGGAAGATCATAGCAGGGTACAAACAAGTAACCACAAAGGATAAAATAAAAGAGTTGTTTCATTCGCCTGTCTTCTAACACTCATTTGAAAATAGCAAACTCTACACTCAAGGCTCAGGGAACCTCTTGGAAGAGGCGGTGGAAAGACTGTAAGAGCCAGAGAAACAAGACACTTGATGCTAGTTAATGCATTCTAGACATAGTAGGGATGCTCCAGCCATGAAGTCTCCACAGTATGATAGCCTAATAAGATCAGCATAATGACAAAACCAATTGACATGCCAATTTGGATGGGGAAATTTCCCAGGGTTTCACCTTTACCTCCAGAGTTACAAGCAGTCATGGATACTGAGGTGGGGGGGTGGGGATCAGTGTTCTCCAGGGACTAACTCACTGAGAGGTTCTCTGATCCCAAGTGGGCAGCACTAAACACAGGTACACAAAAGAACCACTAAATGCACTCAGTACATTACATCTATATATTATATACATATAAGACATGTATGTGTGTTTATAAATGTGCCTATGTATATGTAAAAATAATAAAGAAGAGTATAACAAAGTTGTGACAGAGATGGGGAGTCATGGGAGGAGCTGAAGGGGAACTTGAAGAGAGGAAATAATGCAAACAATATTCATGTGTGAGAAATTCTCTAAAAAGAATAGTAACTAATATAATGATATAAAAATTTATTATACAGGGTGCAGTGCTCCCATTTTTTGAATGTATATCGCTCTTATTATTATATTGCAAAAAATGCAATTCTATGCTTTGCTTAAGTACAGCTTAATTTCCCTTTATCCTTCATTTCTGTGCTGTTGCAGTTCCCATTCCAATGAGAACCAGGCCCACCTGTGAAATGTCATCTGCATGAACTCAGCAGTGTAGATTTTCTGCCTACTTTGATCATATGACATCACCTTTAATATTGTCTGGCACAAGTTTAAATATTGTTTCAGAATTAATCGTTGAAACCCACACTTGGGGTCTTTTCTCAAATATCAAATAGTAGTCTTAACATCTAGCAGGGAACCAATGAGGACTTTTTTTTTCCTTAGTGATTTATGAACCTCAATTCAAACTTTATGTGCTTTAACTATGCCATATTCTGCTTTTGCAAAGCACTCTTATTCTTGTCCTTGTAAAAATTAAGTGGTACTGATTAGCCAAAGTAAATAATTTCATTTCACTCTGATATTCCAATAATACGGACCAAATTTTATCTCTTTGATCAAAGTTGATTAGTTTTTGCAACTTACATCAGTGAAATGTCATAATTATCCAATTAACATATAAAACTAGGAAGCAAAAGTTAAACAGTATTTCAAGTAATTTGAATTAAATTTTCAGTTCTTCTAATCTTTTTTGACTTTAAAATGAGGATAATCTTATTCTGTAATGTCCCTAAATTAGGGGAAAAACTATGCATATAGGAACTAGGCTTGTAGATCAAGTGGTAGCATATGAGCCTAGCATGCACAACGAGGTTTTGTGTTCAAGCCCAGCACCTCCTGAAAAAGACGCTGATATGTAGGAATATTTTAAATAACACACCGCTTGAGGTTCATATGCAAAAGTAAAAATAAACATATCAAATTTTGTCTCTTAAATATACATAGAGGTAGAAAAGTACAGATCACCTTGTGTGAGTTTTAATATATTAAAAATAGATGATTAGTCTCTTACTTAACAATTAGCATATATACTGTGGTTCTTTCACGTATGTGAAGATTAAATGATTTAAAATTGCTAGCAGTACTTGAGATTATTCATTTTAGGGATATGATTGCAACATATTCTCTTAGTGTTTGCTTCAGATGCCTCTTTAAATCATGTGATAGCTTATTCACGAGGAAAGCTATGTCTAGCATTCACCCTTCCTTCAGTTTAGAGCAATTATTTCTCAGTTTATATCCCACCAAGGATTCGTCTTCTGCAAGATTGCAAATTATGCACATTTTATGCGATAATCTACTTCACTTGGACCTGACCAGTACTGATAGAACAGTTAATTGCTAGGGAATTCTTTTTCTCTAGTGTCACCTTCCTGGGAAGTTGGTCTGCTTCAACAGACTGGGGTCCCTGAAATCTTTTACCATTGCATCATCTATATTTCTTAGCTACCCTGTATCCAGGTATTTCCAACACAAATACCTAAAATAAATAAAATGCCAATTCTGGGAAAAGTAAAAAGTACTTTTGCTTATCCTATTTTTTTCCTGCTTTTGCATTTGCAGATGTTATCCACACTGTAGGGCCAATAGCCAGAGGCCATATTAATGGTTCCCACAAGGAAGACCTTGCAAATTGCTATCAATCATCTCTGAAGCTGGCGAAAGAAAATAGCATCCGATCAGTTGTAAGTACCTAAATGTTCCTCATTTTGCATTCTTTTCCAGCCTTTATGCAAGGAAAATAGCCGATGATGGGTTTCTAATACTATTATGCATTTCTTTTATATTGGCAATGTTTGTGCATGGTTAGAGCTTAGTTTCATCTGGGCATATATGAATATATACCCTTCTGTCTAAATACATGTCTCTGGAAGCGACTCACTTTCAGAAATTTACTGCATGTGTTTTTCCTGAATGATGTTATTCTTTCAGATTCATTTTTCTCCTTATAACCTAATAATCTAAGGCTAAGTGTCACGTCTCTTCTAAATTTTATCAAGTTAGACAGAGAGAATTCAGAAAATGTGGATCTAATCTATTTTCTTAGCAGTAGTCTATGAGAAAGCTGGATTTGGAGGTATTTATCCACCTGCTTTTCTTTTTCAACATGTTCTATCTTTATTACATCTCAATTACACCAGGAAAACAAAACTGTGAGGATAATACCTTATAAATACCTAATAGTAAGTTAATTTGCCCTAGAATAAAGTAATTTGGCCAGAATCTCTGAGGTTTATTTTTTTCCATAGAGATTATTAACCTTACTGAAATTATAGGTTGGGAAGAAAGTTAAACATTCTACATCTTGACATGCTGACTAGACCTCAGCATTGCTTCTCAGTTCACACAGTGGGGGTTTTACTGCAAGCAATCAGAAACATTAAGAAGTACATATTTGGAAGGCAAAGGACTATTGATGGGCTTCTTAAGCATGTATGTAATTCTGAAAAGCCTTTCTTCATTGTAACATGGTGAGTTTGAATTTGCTTGAAATAAGGAAACATTTTGCAAGCCAGTTTTTAGAGCCTTTTGAATATTTGACTAATTATTAACAGACCTAGGTGGTTTAACCTTTTGATTAAAAAATACTTGGGGTGGGGGGCTGGAGAAGTGGCTCAGCAGTTAAGAGCACTGGCTGCTCTTGCAGAGGACCCAGTTTCAATTCCCAGCACCCATGTGCTGGCTAACAACTATCCGTAACTCCAGTTCCAAGGAATTCAGTGTCCTCTTCTGACCTCTATATGCTTTGCAAGACACGGGTGCACTTACCTACATGCAGGCAATACACACATACACATAAAATAAAAATAATAAACAAAATTAAAAAAAAAAATTCTGTTTGCAAAGACTCACTAAATAAAGCTCTCTCTCTCTGTGTGTGTGTGTGTGTGTGTGTGTGTGTGTGATGTATGAGGATGTGTGTAGGTATATGCAACCCACTTGTGCCTTGTGGAGATCAAGTGTTCATATTGGAATGTAATCCTCAGTTGCTCTCCACATTATTTTTTGAGACTACCTACATGGAGAGTCCCTGGAATCTTCCTATCGCCTACTAAACACTGAAATGACAGATGACTTTCTGATTCTATGATAAAACACTGATCAAAAAACAACTTAGGGGAGGAAAGGGTTTATTTTGATTTTCATTTCCAGGTCACAGCCCATCATTGAAGGAGTCAAGGCAGGAACTCAAGCAGGATCTTGACACAGAAACCAGGGAGAACTGCTGCTGCTGGCACATCCATAGGCTCATGTTTAGTGAGTTTTCTTATACAGCCAGGACCACATATCTAGTAAATAATGCTGTCCAAAGTGGGCTGGGCCCTCCTATCTCAATTAACAATCATGATATTCTCCCACAGACATGCCCATAATCTAATCTGGTAACTCTAGACTGTGTCAAGTTGACAGTTTAAGTTAAAAAAGACATGGTCCTCCATGGTCAGACTGGGCCTTTTACATGGATGCTTGCTGGGGATTTGAACTCATGTCTTCTTATCTGTGCAATACTTGATCCTCTGACCCATCCCATCAACTCCAGGACCCCATTCTTAGAGGAGAAAGCTAAAATTCAAAGAGTGGAGCAAAGTATAAACCCAGTTTGGTTGCATTTGTTCTTCATAGAAAAATAAGGAAAATCAAAACCAGTGTGTGTATTCAGGGAATAATTAGAATTTTGTCAACACAAAATTATTTTTGATTTTAAAATCAAGAGGCTGAAGTGTCTTATAAATGGATATGTATAGAAGTTTCCATATTGGAATATGTAGATTTAAAGACCTGAATAGAATTTGCTAATAGATTTATTGGTATCTCTAATGATTTTTTTTAAAAAAACAGGGGAAAAAAAAAAAAAACAGGAACAAAACAAGACTCCCATTGCAACTGCTTAGAAACAATGCTCATGATTTTAATAAAGGAAATAAATGATCCTTAGTCATGAATATATTGCTTGATACCACTTGAAAAGGAGTAAGAATTACACACTAAGCTAGCTTTAATCAGGTCTATAGGTGTGCTAAAATAATGGTCTGGGAGGCTGGAGAGATTGCTCAGTGGTTAAGAGCACTGACTGTTCTTGCTGAGGACCTGGATTCATTCCCGTCACCCACATGGTGGCTTCACAACTATCTGTAACTCCAGTTCCAGGTAATCCACGTCCTCTTCTGACCTCTGTGGGCATTGCACAACTCAGGTGTACTTACATACATGTAGGCATGACACCCATATGAATAAAATACAAATAATGAAATGTTAAAAATGATAATGAAATAAAATAATACTCTGGTCTGGTCATCCTGGGATTGGAATTCCTCCTTAATATTTCTGATGACAACTTTATAGTATTAACAAATACTGCATGAGTGTTGTTTCTAAGCAGTTGCATTGGGAGTCTTGTTTGGTTTCTTGTACTTACTTGAATGAAATTAACAGGTGATGCTGAACTGAAGTTATACTAATATTGGTAAATAAAAATGAAGATGGAAAGTATCTGTTGAATATTAGGTGAAATGACCATGTTATTACATGTTTGACTATAGATACCATCAAATATTTTCCTTTTAATAATAAAAGAATCCTTCCTTCCTTCCCACCTTCCTCCCTCCATCTCTCCATTCCTTCCTCCCTTCCTCCCTTTTCTTTTGCTTTGTTCTGAGTGAGAAAATGGGACTGTCTACTTTATAAATTGAATTATGTTCTTGGCCACCATTAAATAATTGATTTTGCTAAAGTCATCAAATTGTGATTATATATAGTGAAGAAGAAATTCTTGGGAAAGTGAATATGGCTGTTTGGGTATTTTGTAATACAGTCTGAACATTATAGATTTACCAAAATACATGGATATTGAACTATAAGTAGCATAGTTATTAAGATAGAAATTAAACTTACCTTGAACCTATCCATTTATGTCAAAGAAAATCTGTTAGAATCCCTCACCAGAGAAGTTTAGTGTTTTTTCTCCCAGTTGTCTTTTGCAACCATACAAGTGATGTCAAAATTGTGTAACCTCAGTTTCTAGATACAAGGAATCTTTGAATTGCTACAATTATTTCTATAAAACTAATGAGGTTATTATAGGGATCAATGGAGATAATGTCCATTAAGATAAAAGGGAAAATATAGTTCTCTATAAAATTATCGTTTTTGATGATACTGCTTTTAGTATAAGTTGTTTTCACACTTTATGATTTAGTAGCTGAGGTGGGTATCATTTGCGCTTTGATAAATACTTTGACCACCAGACCTGTAGACATCTGCCACTCCATTTTTGGTGCTTTCAAATCAGAACAAATTATTTTCAAGTATAATATTCAATTGGTTTAACAATAAATTATTTTCAAGCACACTATTCAGTTAGTTTATCACATTTATTTAAGCAGTTAAGACCATTATTAACTCTGAATAATATTTTATTGTAATTATTAGTAATGCAATTGTTAACATTGCAACTCATTTCTACATAGCACAAAAACTTTATTTTTCATTAAGCAGATGCATTGAATTAGACTATGTTAATTGCTTAACTGCGTGTAACTATCTTAAATTTGGAGTCTAATTTTTAGCTTATAAAGTACCTTTATATTATGGTTTCTCCAACTTTATGTTTGGCAGCAAAAGTATAAATATGGATAAGGAGTGGATAGTTAAGTTGGGATAGATGATCTATAAGAAAATATTACAGGGCTATAGGCAAATGCCATAATGGTGATGCATTGCTTTGTAATTCTGCATTAGTGAGACTGTGCTGCTGCTCCAGAAAACTTCAGAATTCCAGTGATTTATAGACAGTTCATCATCTTATATTTGTAATCTCTGGAATGTTTTTTCTTCGGTCATAGAATAGATAATTTGTAAAATCCCCCAAGAGATCTTTTTCACTTTGTCTTGTAGGAGTGATACATGTTATTTCTACTTTATTTTTCCATTGGCAATAGCTATTCACAGTGTTTTACCTTCCTGCAAAGAGGTCAGGGATATATATGTATAAATTAAACATTTTCTTGGTACCATTTTTCTGCTGAAATTAAGCCAAGACTTTAGGACCCTTGCAGACGAGCCCAAGTTATCTGCTTTTACTCTAATGTTATCAACAAATGGTATTTATCTGATGAGTATTAATAAATTTATAAAGTGCCAAGACTGTATTAGGCATCTTTTAATCATGAGGATGCAGTGCTTGTCGTCACACAAGCTCATGCTGACAGCATGCATTTAGGTGTGTACTGCACTTCTCCTGTCCACAGTGAGTAACTGATGATGGCCATGCATTGTTCTTCCTCTGCAATTCTTTAGATACAAATACTCATGATCCCTGCTAATGGTCAACTTCCCAATACTTTAGCATGAAGGATTTATCAAATTTCTTTTCACTTTGGCAGAATAAATTACTTTGTGATAAAAACATTGAGCACCTAAGACTGGGAAAGGAGAACTGGAAAAGTCTGAAGGGATGACTCCATGGCAGATTATAGGGTGTGCTAAAAAGAAGTTTAGTTTACCTATCAGTTGTTTGAACAGAGGCCATCTTTAAACAAAGGAAAGGGTGACATTGTTTTAACAGATAAACATCTAGAAATAAGGTAATGGAATATTTTGTGGTTTAAAATTTTCACTATGAAAAAGTATAGCCTTTTCAGTTGATATACTGAACAGCTTTAAGAACAGAATAGCACTGCAGTAG